ATAATCGAATTTTCTTATATTCTACTATTTTTTTTTCAACTTCTCTCCCCTCTGAACAAATCTTGCCAAGAAAACCCCATGAGCCTTAGGGTGGTCATAAATTGCAAATGACTTGAAGGCACACAGAATGTGTGCAGAGGAGGGTGACCAAAATGATGAAGGCTCTGTAAACCATGCCCTGTGAGGAGAGACTTAGGGAACTGGGTGTGTTTAGCCTGGATAAGTGAAGGTTAAGAGGCAGTATGATAGTCCTGTTTAAATATTTGAAGGAATATCTATTGAGGATGGAACCAGCTTGTTTTCTGCTGTTCCAGAGACTAGGATCTGGAGCAATGGATTCAAATTACAGGAAAAGAGATTCCACTTCTCGACATTTGGAAGAATTTCCTGACAGTTAATAGCTGTTTGAGAGAGTAGTGGAGTCTCCTTTGGAGGTTTTTAAATAGAGGCTGGATGACCATCTGTTGGAAGTGCTTTGATTCTTGTGGTCTCTTCCAATTCTGTGATTCTGTGATTCTACAACAATAGATTTAGCCTATAGATCTTAGTGGAACCCACTTCAGCCTATATCCAGCCCATTGCCTTCTCAACACTGTTGTCACATCCTTGGGCACCCTCTCCAGTGGCATCCATGTGGTCCCTAATGTTGTATTTTAGGATTCTTTTTTTTTTTTTTTACAGCTGAAATGTGTATGATTTTGTTGCATTTTTGTTGACTTGAAACAGTGGTGGACAAATATGGAAGATCCCGTTTGGGGTCTTTCCAATCTTGACTGGTCCATATTATTTTAATTGGAAGGTATATTCTGGTCACTTCCACTCATTATTTTTATTACTTTGGACTGTTTCAAGGTCCCTCCTCAACAGTATTTAAACTGAAAATCATGCCTTTTAGAGGTCTCTTGATGAACAGCTTTAGGTTTTGAGCCACCTCACCATTTTTTAAGCTGGAGCGGTATAAGAGGCATCTGTGCAGGACTAAGGGATGTACAGAGCCCCATGGCAGGCTCTTCTTATGTTGCACAATTCCCACCTCTGTTTTAAAGCTTTGAAGTTGTTGTTGTTGTTATTGTTGTGTGACTTGAAGTCATTTCCAAAGTGATATTAAGGTTTTGCGGGACTAAGAGTGTGTGACTCACCCAAGGCCTTGCATTTGTGTGTCTATGACAGAGCAGGGAATTGAACCCTGATCTCCTGAGTCCTAGTCTTAACACTAAAATCACTATACCACACTGGCTCTCGCTTTAAAGCATGCTGTGTGATATTTTAGTTTTGTGTGTTTCATCTGCTAATTTGTGGATGGCACATTATTTTTTTTAAAAAAGTTTTCTTTTATATGTAAACTACTTGGAATTCTCATACAGTGTTCAGACTGTTCTAGATGAGGTTGCATTTTCCCCCTAAGTAGGGGTGACCTGTGGGCTGTATCTGGTTTCCAACACTCTTTTTTTGTGTGACCCCAAGTTCTCCTGATGCCCTGAAAGCTCCAGACTCTCTAGTTATTTTTTTTTTCAGATAAAAAACCTCCCCACAAATGCTACTTGGAACAGCATTAATCCTACTCCAACATTCTGCTTTTAATTCTACTCCAACATTCTGACACCTCCCCAAGTCTACTTTCATTGACAAAAATTGGCCAAATTCCATTTAAAAAACTAGGAAATTAAAAGTGAGAGTGAGGTTTTAGTGACATCTGGGTCACATTTCATATGATTTTCAGTCAAAAATACATTTGTATGGGCTGTCTGGGAAAGAAAAGGATGAAAACTACGGTAGGTCCTGCCCCACCAGAGTCCCCTCCCTTTACACACACACACTAAAGGATCAGATTTGCAGCAGAAGAGTGATGATTGTTTATTGATCCATCAGTGTCATTAGACCTTCATGTGACCTCTATGACTGACTGTCTTTTGTCAGTTTCAGCTGGTATGCCAGCTGCAACATTACCTGGAAAGAGATAGCTTGGCCATAATTTGGCGTGCTCTGAGAGCCTCCCTTTTTGACTACTGCAGTGCATTCATTACAGGTGTGGCTACCTTTAAAATTCTGAAACTGAAGCTCCCCTGGAGTGGGACTGTTAAGATTATCAGTGTGCACTGAGAAGGCTGATCTTATGTGCTTTGTCAGTTGTAATGGTTCCCAGTCAATTTCCATCTCTGGTTTAAAGTGCTTGGTTTAAATTTTTAAAGCTGAAATGGCTCAGAAGTAGATCACTGGAAAAACTGTCTTTTCCCATATGTACTCATACCTACTTATCTATACTTTAAGATCCCAGATGCTCTGCTCTCCCTTTTAAAGTGGAGAGATTAGAAACAATCAGGGAAAGGGCATTTTCAATAGGAACACCCTAGCAGCAGAACATGCTTCCTTGAGAGAATTGCCTAGTGCCATATTTGTAGTCCTTTCAATATCAGGTGATAAGGTTTCTATTCACTCAGACTTATGTCTGTTGGGATCTTTCAGGTCTTGTTTAGCAGTGTTTACTGGAAGGAACAAATCCACAAAATTTCCCCCCAGTTAAAAGTTGAGAAAAAGCATCATGAAAGGGGAGGAAAAGTTGAAAACTGGCTCTGTTGCTGCTTCGACATGCCACTTTGTTGTAACAGAGGCTGCTTCGACATGCCACTTTGGGCCTAAGCAGACGGGCGGCCATGGGCCGCCCTGGGAAGGTGCGCCGCGGGACCGAGACATCCCCATGCCTCGATCCAGCAGCGCACCGTCAGCACCCCTGGAAAGGAGCGCTAAAATAGCACTCCTTTCATATGTTGCCGAAAGTGCACCGCAAAACCTTGTGGCGCACTTTCGGCGACCCTTCCGCCACAGCGTGTCTGGAAGCTGCGGCGGGAGAGCCTCCTCGGAGCGCCGGCCGTGCGGAGGGCCTGCGGCTCCAAGCATGACCTCAGGGGGGGATGGGGCGCCGAGCGTGTGGCTGCCCCTCCCCTTCCCTGCGCCAAGGACGGCTTTTTAATCCATCTGCCGAGGCCCTTTGTTGTAACAGAGTACTCCATCTATTCCTTTCCTTAGCCTTAGGGTTTCACTCAACATGAAGCTTATGACTATCTTTTCCCCTCTCATTGGCTATGTTGAGTCTTGTTTTGAACCACTTATGAGTGTTATATAGCAAGCCAAATGTGAATGCTGTTATAAGAAGTTCTTGTCTGTGACCTTCCATACAATTTTCACAGGTTTCTATGAGGTTGCTTTGGTTTTATTTCCCAAACTAATCTGTTAATTACAACTGTAACACCTTGACAAATTTCAGTAAAACCTAAGTTTTATATGTGCCCTAATGTATAGAAAACTGTGAGTTGAGAGGTCTTCGTTTGGTTGAGTATAAACTACCATAGCTTTGAAGTATTATTCTTTGTGTGAACAGCTATGAAGGTACTGTGAAATGAAAAGTCATCTATTCAGCATCACAGAGTAGCCAGAGCATGGGCAATGGGCTGATGGAATTACTGTCTTGCAGCATCACAAGGGAAATCTTATTATGTCAGAGGCAGTCCAAATTGCTTGTCAAAAGAGCAGAACACAATATAGAGTAAATTTATCTTTGTACCTTTTGTTGTTCAGGCTCTGAAGTTGGAAAGTCCTGACTCTAAGTCACAAATGACTGGTTGAGATGTGGTCTTACATAAATGTCAAGACCTTGATTTAATCTGATCTGTCATGATCTGAAATGTAGCTCAAGAATGCATAATTTCCTTTGACAAAAAATAGATTTGGGATACTAGCATTATGATACACAGATGAGTTCAGTTGTATTGCCATTAGTATAGACGTGCTTACCAGTAAATTAACTGGTGTGTCAGTTGTTTTAGACTACAGCTTCTATCACTCCTAACCATCTAGATGGGAACTGTAATCCAAAATGTCAGGAAAGTACCATATTTGTAGTAAGGGTGTGAAAATCTTTCACTCTCAGTTTTGTGAAATTGTTCCAAAACCACCTGCATTTTCCTTCTGTCCTTATTTCATAGTTGGTTGCAAGATTTTGTATTTGCCTCTTGTTCTGAAATTCATGTAGCATTTTAAACACATTTTTCCTAAAGTACACATTTATATGTGCAATTTGCCTACTTTATGCATTTCCCTTATTGACTGAAGCATGCCTTTGTGTTTTTCCATGAGTTATGCATATTTTAGTCTTTCATATTTAAAAAAATTGCCACTATTCTGTGAGCACTTTATTGCTGGGATGCCATGCAAACTGCTGAAGATGAGGTACACATTTTGTAGCAACAAGTCACAGCAGGTGTAAAAATGTCACTTTCGTTTATGCTGCCTAGTTCAATGAAATTTCTTTCCAACCATAGTTGGGGAAAGCTGCTTATTTGCTATCACATTGGCCTGAGATTTTATGTTGCCCTACATTAGCAATAGAACTTGAAGCTTCTTCTTATATTACATTTTTGTGTATGTACCTGAACTAAGTCTAAATACTTTAAAGGCATGACATCCTGTATGATTTTGGAAGGTAGGCAGGGTCAGTCCTGGTTAGTACTTGGATAGTAGACCACAAACAAATACCGTGCTGTAAGCTATACAGGTTGAATCTTCCTTATCTGAAATCCCAACCAGAAGTATTTTGGATTTCAGATTTTGGAATATTTGCATATACATATATATCTTGGAGATGGGACTAAACATGACATTCATTTATATTTCATATAGCCCTTGTACCTCATGAACCTCATAATTTTATACGCTGTATTTCTAATAATTGTGTGCATGAAACAAAGTTTATGTACACAAAACCATCAGAAAGCAAGGGTGTCACTATCTCAGCCACCCATGTGGACACTTTTGGAGTAATTTGGATTTCAGAATTCTGGATAAGGGATACTCAACCTGTATTTCAGAGAAGGAAAATGTATGTCTAGTGTTTCTAATTGTGTTTGTAGTCATGTGCTGGATAGCAGTAGTCTCATTTGGGAATTGGGAATTGACCAGGGCTTCCAATTTTATCTAATTGGGCTGTGTTATATAATGCAGCCCCAGAAATACTAATGATAACCATTTCCTGCAACAGATACATATGGATTATGTATTATTCAGTTATTTTCTCTTGAATATCAATGCCACGTATGTAGTTTGTGGCTGCACTATTTAGCCAAGTCATGTTTTATGTGAATTAGTTGGCTTTCCCCACCGTACCAAACCCTCATTTTGATTTGCTTTTTAATGACTTACTTATGTTACTTAAGATGATTCATAAGCCAGTTTTAAGCAATGTTTTCAGGGTGCCTCACAGCAAGATATAAATTGATTTGAACTTCAGTAGCAATTAAAACAACAGTAAAAGTGTTGATATCACACACACACACACACACACACACACAACTTCTAGTAGCCATACACTGAACAAAGAGAAGTTGTTTGGACCATTTTCAAGGGCATTCTCACATATAGTGCAACACAGTAGTCCAGCTGGCAAGTTAGATTGTTGTTATTTCATTGCTTGCAGTTGGTAGTGTTGTGAGACATTAGAGCACTCTGGATAAATGCTCATTCTTCAGCTGCCAATCCTAGGATGCCATGAAATAGAATCAGGGCAGTTAAAATGGAATAATAGCACAACCGTATAGTGTGAATGATTCCTTTGCCTTTTAGTGAGAATTTGAGCCTGTTTTGCTCTAGGACCCATTCATTAGTCTTTTTTTGGCATTCCATGCCATCTGTAGAACTCTCTTCCACTGTTACATTTCAGATATGTTGATTTTCTTGTCAACTTTCTTCACTAACCAGCTTTCAGTGAAGGAAGGATGTCTTTGTCCAAACAAGGTTGTACCTGGAACACCAGTACAATGCTAGTAAAAGCCTTTCCAGGCGACAGAGACTACTGTTGCCTCCTACAACAAAGTGAGCAGCACCAGGTGACTGTGACCTGATCTTTTAGGGCAGAGATGGAGAACTTGTTAGCCATCCAGATATTTTGTTCCATCAGCTGCATCCAGTATGACAGAGGTAAGGGAGTGTGTGTTTTGTAGATTCCCCCGTCCCTGCTTTAAGGGAAGTACCACACACTCAAGAACAGGTTAAATTTTAGCCCTTCCCCTGGAATATATAATCTCTTCCAATTTGATTTTTTTTAAATCCTATATTTTTATGTTCCAGTACACAAACAAAAGGCACTAAATGAAAAAAAAATCCAATATTGGAAGAGAGATTTCTCATTAATCTCTGTTTATATGTCTTCAGCAAGATTTTTAAGTTCATCCATCTGTGACAACTTTA